AGCCCGGGGGGGGGGGGGGGGGCAAAAGGCAGAGCCCAGGCACTGCCCCCCACCCTGGCTCCAGAGCTGGGCTGCCCACAGAACACTCAATTAACTTCATATAATGAAAATCAACTCCTATCTGCACAAGGAAGCCCAGAAGAGGAAGAGATACCAACACTACCCTGTGCTCCTGGACTTTGCCAGCTCCCAGGAAAGAGCCTTTTGACTGAGGAAGCCAAGATTTTGCAGGGTCCCCCACACACCAGCCTGGCATGAGAACCCCAGTGTGGGCAACCAGCTCTGGAGGTAACAAGTCAGTAAGGGCTGGGGCACCAGGTCCTCTTGCTCTCTCACACCTACACATGCTCACCCACCTTCCCAGCAGCTTTTCTAGCTGACCAGCACTGAAACCCTGCTGGTTTTCCCCCCTCTGTGGTTTGCAGCACCTCTACCACCTGCCAGGACTCAGAAATAGGAGGCAAAGCCTGCCCAGATATGGCCAAAGTGAGGAGGGAGGACGAGCAGCTCTGGGGATTGCTGTTGCTAATTAGGATCAGACTTTCTCACCCCGAGTTCCCCATGCTCCCCAGGAGGATAAGTGAGTCCCCCCAACATCTCCTGACACTCCTGCCCTGCAGCAGAGAGAGAGCTGAGCCACCAAGGCCAGGGACAAAGGGGACAGCACGTAAAAGCAAAGCCCCAGGACAGAACAGTCTCAACCCCCCAGGAGTGAACTGGAGCTGCTGACACTCCTCTTCATTCAGACTGGATATTATGAACAATGTCTTCACTGAAAGAGGGGTCAGGTCCTGGCACAGGCTGCCCAGGGAGGTGGTGGAGACACCATCCCTGGAAGGGTTAAAAAACCACGTGGATGTAGCACTTCAGGACACGGTTTAGTTGGGATGACAGTTGGACTTGATGGTCTCAGGTCTTTTCCAGCCTTAATGGGTCTGTGGTTCATCTCAGACCAGGTGCTGCAGACTGAGTGATGCTCCAGGCACAGGGGTTTTCCCTCCCTGGCAGCTGAGCAGCACCAGGCACCACTTCTGCTCCTCACCAGGAGGGACAGAGCCCCCCAGCAGCCACAGCCCAGGGCAGCCCTGCTCCAGGTCCTGAGGGAACCAGCACTGCCCACAACACAGATAACACCCAAACCCCCCCAGCTGACACCTCCCCAGGGAGAGACCAGATAAGCTCGAGATGAAAACAAAATGCCTGCAGAGTAACTGTACCCTGGCCCAGGTCAGCACTTTGTGCCACCAGCACCAGCTCCTCCCGGGCTATATTAAGGCCCCAGCTGTCCCCAGGCAGTGGCTGCTCTGGCCTTTAGCCCCTCTCTGCATCAGATTTTCAAAGAATTCCACCCCAGGCATTGTCCCAGCCTCACAGTGCTTTGTTCCAAGCTCTGAATTTCCCAGCAGTGCTCAGAGCTGGAAGCACCAGCCCCACCAAGCTCTGCCAAGTTGCCCGTGTCCCCTCAGAGGGGCAGAGCTCTGCCCTCCCCTCCTCATCAAGCATTCAGAGCCCGGCTGCCCTCCCAGGGAGCAGGGACATGCTGCTGCCAGGGCTCCTTCCAGCAGGAGCCACAGTAGGAAAAACAGGAGGAAGCTCGAAGGGTGAATAAATAATGCAGAGACAGAAAGTCCTGAGCCCAGAAAGCATGAATTATTCGTGTCTCCAAGAGTGGAGCACAGAAGCAGCTCAGCCCTGGGGACAGCCAGGACAGCAGCTGCAGAGCCCCTGCCCTCCCCAGCTGGGGCTGAATTTAGGATGCTGAGCTCAGCCCCAAATCTCTGTTGCAGCCTCACTGCCCATCATCACCCAAGTCATGTTGCTGCTTCTCTGCACCTGTAGAATCATGGAACAGTTTGGGTTGGAAGGACCTTAAAGATCATCTAGTTCCAACCCCCTGCATGGGCAGGGACACCTCCCACCAGCCCAGGCTGCTCCAAGCCCCATCCAACCTGCCCTTCAACACGGCCAGGGATGGGGCAGCCACAGCTTCCCTGGGCAACCTGGGCCAGGCTCTCACCACCCTCACACTCCACAATTCCCTCCTCATATCTCACCTCAATCTCCCTCTCCCAGTTTTCATCCATCCCCCCTTGTCCTCTCCCTCCCTGCCCTTGTCCCAAGTCCCCCCCCAGCTTTTCAGGAGCCCCTTCAGGCACTGGGAGCTGCTCTAAGGTCTCCCTGGAGCCTTCGCTTCTCCAGGCTGAACACCCCAACTCTCCCACCCTGTCCCCAAAGCTGCTTCAGCCCTCCCATCATCTGCGTGGCCCTAAAAAAGGGGGGAAGAGCTCCACGCTTCAGAGCTGATGACAAGGACCATCTCCCAAGGGGCAGACACATTGAGGCAATCTGTGTTTTACAGACACTCAGGCCCTCAGCAGAGATGGCAGCAGAGCAGCAAACTGCCATCAGGAGCCTGCAGCCTGATGAACCACCCACTGCAGGGATGGCAGCAGCAACCAGGCTGGAGTGAGAGCAAAACCCAGGGAGGGGCCACCCCACCCCAGCTTGTGGTGGCCACTGCTCAGAGGGGTTCAGTCCTCACTGCCCATATGGTTTATGGCAAGTCCTGGGGAGAACCCTCCTTCCCCCCTTCGGCAGCCACGGGCAGCTCAGGCTGCACCCTGAGCTCCACAGCCATGGGAACTGGTTCTGGAGCAGAGACAGGGCCGGGCCGGGAGGGGACCCAGGGCAACCCG